AGATGGTTATATTATTTTCTAGAATAGTGCTGTAAAAAACTTGCTAAAGAAATCTTCATTAAATCCCACCATCACATATAACTAGTGAACTGTTCCAGATTTTCTTTTTTAAATAGAGTTTCAGAGCTTACGATAACAGCTTAACTCCAGATCTTCTTGGGTGAAGCAGATTGCTGGAATCACTCCAAGTTGGGCTTGCACCTGGTTTGATAACAGAACTTGCCTTAGTGAAGGGCTTACTCTAGGAATTAGCCAAAGGAAAGAGCATTTTATGTACCTGATGATGTTATCTCACTGGAATGTTACTTAGGGCCTAATTCTACAGTCATTATTTGGCTGATTGCTCTCAGAAAGTAAAAGAAGGTGGGGATGGTGATACCCAGATTTATTACCATAAACTTATAAGGGGTCCCATGTTTCTATATTTACAGTATTTATTTTTTTACTGAAATAGATAATCAGCAGACCACATGGAACCCCAGAAATCAAAGTACTAATTTTTAGTAGCAGAATTGGAAGAGGAGGTAGCATACTGATATTGGGAGATAAATAAATAAATCTCTTATGACTTAATGTAAGCACATTCAAAAAGTACCTAGAAACTAGAATTTGATAAGGATGTCATAATATTGTAATTTTATTGGATGTGCTAGCTTTACTGAGATTCCATCAGGATATTGTGATCTTTCCCTATTCACTCATCTACTGTTCAGTGTAAAAGTATTTCCAAGTGACTTGAGCCCTTTTAAATCAACAATACACTCCAGCTCCGCATTGCGATGCCTAGAAACAATTAAAAACAAAAAAATTGATTCTGATGGATAACATATTAGTATTAGGGGCTAGCAATTATTTAATCTATATTCATTTATAATACATTTTATATACCACCTATTTCTTAAGACACAAGGCACTCTTAGGAAAGAGGTGGTAAATAACAATCAAAATAACCTAGAAAATACAAGGTATATAACAAGTAAAATAACATGAAAGTCCAAATAAAAATGCAGAGCTAATGAACAGTAATCTTGTCACCATTAGCATACAAAAGCTCTGGGAAATAACAGGTTCTTATCTGCCTTCCTAAAGGCCAAGAGGTTAGGGACATTCTATGCCTCAGGACACAATGTGTTCCAGAGTTTGGAGGCAACCACAGAGAATGTGCATCACTAACCCCCAGACTCCTTAATTTCACTCTCAAAATGTCCTTATATATTGATTTACTGATGCTTTCCTGCCCTGCTCATTAGATTTCCCAGAAACACTTGCTGGAAATTACATGCAAATTAGGTAGCCACTTGGTCTAATCCAGCAGGGTTTCTGTAATGCTCTAAGCAACTTCAGCTTTTAATACTTTTCCAAATAAATATTTCAATCCCAATCTTTTTTTATCAATCCCTATGAAGATACTGAAGTGGTAGGTAGCTTCCGCCTTTTAGGATGGATTATCAACAGTAAAAGAACCAGCAGACCAGAAATATGCTACAAGGTAGCAATGAAGGCCTTGTAAAAGGCATTCAGATGCCATGATGTCTATACCTACAAAAATCAGAATCATGCAGACAACAATTTTTTTGTGTGTCACTTTATGGAAGTGAAAGTTGGAGTCTGAAGAAGCGGGATAGAAAGAGTGTTGAACTTTAGCGTTTGAGAAGATTCCCAAGAATACATGGAAGCCTGTGCCCCCCCCCCCCAATCCAAAAAAAAAAATGGATCACAAAAAAAAAAAAAAAA